ACAGGTGTACATAACCTGGGTATGTTTGCTACTGGCCAAGGCAGGGCAGCTGGAGCTCTAGTCCTTTCCATCCCACTGGCAATTGTTTACTAGTCTATGGTGGGTGGCTTCCTTGCTCCCTAGGGCAGTAATTTTCATTTGCCTTTGAGGGAGTAATTTTTCACACCTGCTGGTTGTCAAGACTTGCTTCAGTTTCCTCTGGGGTCTTGGTGGAAGGAATTGGTGTGACTACACCAAGGATGCATGACTGTAGTAGTTAAGTGAAGGAGTTCAAACCAAAGAAGGCTGAGCTGTTTTTTGTGATAAGAAAGAAAAATTATTAAAGAAAGCTGTCCTTATTTTTCTTTCCTGAACTGCCATCGATTTCCAGTAGTGGATTGGTTCCTGTCCCTTTGGTAAGGTACAGATGTGTTTTCAGCATCTCTGATCTTTCTCCTCCACTTTCCCTGCCACTCTGTCTCTCCAGATGGGTGTGGGGTGACACCAGTGTCCCTGGAAGGCAGTCATTAACTGGCTGGTGTGTAGCCTGAGCGAAGCTATATAGGCTTCTCCCAGGCAGGAATAACTTCGTCCAGGTCAAGGCCAGGCTTGCTCCTGGCTTAGTCCTGACTGGCTGAGTCCCTTCAGAAGACCAGGCTGGCAAAAACCTTCCTTTCAACATAGGCGTGAGCAAAGAGGTTTGGTACTGGTATTAACTCTTCCTTTGTGATTTGTGTAATTTATTTTACTCTTTCTGTGAGCTAAAAGGACTTTTTATGCTTTTCCCCCTTTCTCCGCCAAGTTGTTCTCTGCTTCTCGTGGAGCATCCAGGTCTAACATGCAGCTCATGGTGGCTGCGCTGCTGTGATGTGACTCTTGCACGTGTCTTCACTGAAGAGAGCCATCAAGTTTGGAGAGCTAGTCAGACCTGAGGAATGTCATCTGAAACCCAAAGTAGTTTGTCCATCGGGGGTGGTATGAACTGTTGATGTTTGTGATGGCATGTCCCTGTCCTCTGGATCGCTGTGAGTGCTCAGTATGGAGAAAAACCCAAATACCCTTGGTTTAGATGTGTGGTGATGAGACTGCCCTCCCATGTGTTGCCAGGGAGAAGAGAGGAGCCAGGCCAGGCAGGAGTTGAAAGATGATGTAGCTCTGTCTGATGCAGCTGACTGTCTGAAATAAATATGCAGAGGGTGCTTTGGAAGTGGTGAGCTGTGCTGAAGGGAGAGTTTGGACTTCATGAAAAACATTAAAAATTCAAAGTAGAGTTGTTGGCAGGTGATGGCTGTTGAAGTAGAACAGAAAAATGAGCAGAAGCCTGGCAGGGTAGTGGGATGATGATAATTATTTCTTGATTTCTTGAAGGAAGTTAATGAGGCAATGGAGAGGGTGAATGTAAGAGGTGGGGTTTAAGAGATGGGTCACAGCTCTGTGGGCATGGGATGTCAGATGTCAAGGAGAAAACCCTCTGGATGACCTATGGAGGAGCAGGAGGGATTGCAGAACAGGGTCCATCTCTGTTCACACTGTTAGTCTTTACCGTTGTGCTGCGTAGCCCCGTTTGCAAGGTGGGCCTTGGCTTGGTGGGGAGCACTATGAATTAAGTTTGTCATTTTAAATGTTAAATGGGTTGAAATTCCCTGGGAATGAGCATGTGTGTTGCCCTGTCAGGAGGATCTCTAGGGATGCAGGGGTAGCTGTGTGCATAGGCCACGTACCTGTGATACCAGACCGTTCACCAGGAGCACAAGGGTCAAAGAAACTCAAGAAAAAATCTTGAGTAAGGGACTTCGGGGGCCTGTGAGGAATTCTGGAGTGTCCAGAGTTTGGGACTTTATACAGTTCCTGCTATGAGTGCAGGGCTCTGGCTATCTGCTTCCTGTCCCCACAAACAAGTGCTCCATAATTTATTCCTGAGCTGTTAATGGCATATAGGGAACATTGAGATGAGATGTGCTGCTCTGTCCCCCCTGAAAGAAGTGTAAAAAGTTCAGACTGGGATTTTCCAAGGGTGATCCCCAAGGTGTTTTCAGCCAGCATACCCTTTTAATAACTTTTTAGTTCTGAAATTATTTCAGTTTTTAATGGGGAAAAAACCTTAAAACCAGAAAAATAAAGCTTCCGTAAAATGGAAGTTTGATTTATATGTTTGCAGGAGGAAATAAGAATTGTTTCTCCATTTGGGTGCTCTCTCTGGGGTGTTTAGGGCAGGTCAGCCTGGCTTCTG